TGGTTTCAGATAAGATGGTATCATGATTTATCATCCTTTCCCCCCCTCCTTCTAATTTTGCTTTGTGTTTTTTGTTTGTTTGTTTGTTTTTTGTTTTTTTCAAATTGTCACTATAACAGCTTTAAAATATATTACCATCTTTACTTGATTCCACGACAAGTCTCACCCCCACCCCTATTCAATATTGGGGGAGGAGGGGCAGAAACAAGGTCTGGTCTTGGAATCAAGTATCAGACTGCTTCAGCCAGGAGCTGTGGGGAGGAGCTGTGCAGGGGGCCTGATCTGGCCAGGGACAGCTGTGGTGGGGGCACACAGATTCCTTCATCCACTACCTGCTTCCAGCCAGGAGAGAGGGAGCCAAGCAAGGAACAGGCACCAGGAGGAAGAAATTGCACGCCACCACTGTTGTCCCTGGCTGAGTCAGGCTCCCCATGGAGCTGCTCCCCATAGCGCGGCGCAAGAGCAGTTCATCAGCTGGTAATAGCAGCACACATGTTCGTTCTTCCAGTGCCTGCTCCCTGCCCAGCTGCCTTCCCTAAGCCTATCTCCCCCATGGGCCAGAAGCAGGCACTGAAAGAAGTACCCAACCCCTGTCTCTGCTTCTGTTCCTGGTTGACGTAGGTACAGGTGGAGCCCCAGTGCTGCTCCTTCCCTTCACTGCAGGGAGCAGCTGTGCAGGGACCGTGAGTTACCCAGGGATAGAGGCGGCAGGGCTTGCTCTCAACCGGTTGCAGGGGCAAGGAGGAAGGGTGCTCTACGTCTTGCGTGGGGTTCCTAGGTGTGACTGTTACATGAGCAGAAGAAGGGGCAATAACCTGCATCAGCCAGTCCACGTGGCATTCAGAATCTGGAGAACCTGAACACTAGCATGTCACTATTGGCTGCATGGATGCCTCCCACAGTTACAAAGTGCAGGTTTTGAGCTGTGGTGTCTGGTCACAGGACATTTGTCGTAGGACCAGAAATTGCGAACCTAGACCAGAGGCCTTCATCTAACCCCCCGTGGGTTTTTTGGGGTGTTTTTGGTTTATTTGTTTGCCACCCCTGTAATGTAAGTGCTTTAAATAGATTAAAGATCTTACAGTCTAGGTAGAACCACTCTCTGTTCTCTGCTGTACTAGTCCAGTTTCCTTTCTTCATGATCACTAGCTGAAAGGTTGTGGGATTTTTAAGCAAAACTGTTCCTTTTGGTGGAAAGCTGCCTGACTCCTTTGTATCCTGAAAGCATTCAAGCTCTGTCTGTGCTTGAGATGACAAGGAGAAAGGAGAAACTGCTGATGCAACAAGGGGGCTATTTTGAGTTGATTCATGCCCATGCTTGAATAGAACTAGCTGGCATTAGTAGCAGCTCCAGATGCTGCTCTTTCTTTGAAGGCAGAAGGTATTGATGCAAGATGGTGGCCATGTGGTTAGTTTTTGCCAGCAGGGCAATTTATAATATGAAATATACTTTTTTTTTTTTTCAATATGAGGAATCTATTTATTGGGGGGGGGTGTCTTAAATTCTAGGTCATCTTGGATTTGGGGAGGTTCTAACACAGTAAAAATTACTACATGATACTGTGGTGAAGGTAGCATAAGAATTTAAACAGATTGCTGCTTTGGGCCTCTGAAATTTCAGGTGCCATTGGAGAGTAGCCCTTTAACAGGCAAGCATTTTCTGATCCCATAATGAACAGAAGCTTGCACAGCCTCAGTTGTATTCAGTACAGTAGTTAAGATTACCCATGTGGCTTACCACTTTACAGGACTAGGGTGTATGATTGCTAAATCTTGTGCTATAAGCTGTAAATGTTAGAGAAAACATACTGGGTTTGCACTAGTGCATCTGTGCATTACTGTGATGAAGCCTAATTCTGCAAACCTTTCATTGTGTGACTGTCTTGACTCATATGCATAATCTCGGTGAACTCAATAGACCAATTCAAATAAAGTAATTCACATGCTCAAGTGCTTGAGAGATCAGACCTTTCAGTGAAAGGAGTTAACATATTTTTAGCTAAATTACTAAATTAGCATAACTCCCTCTGATTTAATACTCTAGCCACATAGTTAGTTTGCAAGGCAGGACTGCTTGGGAATGTTTAAAGTAGTTCATTTATTTAAAAAGTAGATTATATTAATTAATTAAGGCAGCACAATTAAAACCAATTAAGTTCTGGCAGCCTGTCTCCTTGAATGTAAATGGAGTTATGGGCCATTGATTCTGACATGGGAACCTAGGCTACGAAATGGAAATTATTCCTCCATACATCAATGCTGGTATAATCTGGCAATAAGGAGTGACTAAAAGTTGCTGGCCAGTGTGAACTGCCTAAACTAAAAGCAACACTGTACTTACGTGATACAATCTGCACATTTTTTAAAGTATCTGTCATAAAATACAGGGTATAGATATGTGAACTGATACCTACTTGAAATAAAACACAACTTACTTTTGAAGTTAACACTTTGATTTCAGGAGCTGTCTAATCTTGACGCTTCTTACATTGTGAACAACCTTTAATACACAGTGTGTTTTAAAATATTATGTTTTAATATAAAAAGAAATATTAAAAAATTAGATCTCTAGAAGTTACACTTCTCTTCACCAATCTGGAAAGTTCTTTAAGAACTGTCCTGGACCCTAATGACCCAGTGCAAGTGAGGAAGTGCCCCTTCAGTATACTCATAGTCAGGATCCCATGCTTCAAAATAGCGGTAGGGGCACTTGAACTAAAACTCATTAAGCATTATTTAAAGCACCCCACTCCCATTTTGAAGTGCAGGACACCACAAAGTGCTGAGGCTGCTGGTGTGTGCTAATTAGCATGCATTGGAGCAGGCATTGGGCACATGTGCAAGTGCCCTTACAGCTCCTCCCTATAATCAGGAAAGAG